TAGATGCGGGCGCGAGCGGGGGCATCGGCGCGGCGGAGGGCGCTTGTGCCAACGCGAGATAATCGGACGGGGACGCGGGTGCTTCCTCGAATATCCGCATTCCTACTGGCGTTTCGTCGTCGTTCCGTGTCTTCTGGCTTCTTGTCTTCCGCATGATGATGTCCCACGTTGCGACCTCCGATCGTCTTCCAAAAGACGCATGTATTGGACGCCGTTCCCGCCTCAAGGGCGTTACCAGATGGTCACAGTTTGGCACCGTTAGGGAGCAACCACCCGGCCGCGTAAACGCGGTTTAAGAAAGAAGAATTGTCTTGGAACAGACAATATGCGTATATGACGTAGATGTAATAAGAAACGAGGAAGGAATTAGTACCGACGATCTTCTCTCTTCGTCGACGTACTTCTTTCTTCCTTGAAGATCTTCTATAATGATCTTCTTTCTTCTGTAAATACCTTCTTTCTTATATAATTACCTTCTTTCTTCTGGCTTGAATCCGGCGACCATGGACCAAGAATATAAGGGATCGAGTGTGGACTGTATGAATTTACTTTGCAAGTGGACTGTATGACTGACTACGCTAGGCTACTGCTTAAAGAAAAGATGGTACTGTCGAACTATACTGTATTCAAACTATTTACAATGCGGCACTATTAACTACACTATATACAGAGGGGAGTCTTCTTAATTCCTATGGAGTCTTGATTCTTCTTGATTTCTCTTGCTGTTTATTCTCTTCGAGTGCCGCTGCCGAAATGAACGACTCACAGACTTTTTTTTTTTTGCGCCCGAAGCAATTGGAAAAAGGGCTACCCTTTACGTAGGGAGGCGGAAAATGCATTACGCATACCACGATAGGCTATCCATCGTGGCTATGGGGGACTCACTGCCTACCGGGGAGCCTAAGTGATACCCCCTAAAAACCGCCTTTGAGGACTGGCAACCAGCTGTTTAAAGCTTCTTATGCCGTATCGAAAGCGACCCTCTTTTGGGAAGAGAGGGCGCAGGCGGCTATAAACCGCTGAGGGAGTGCCTACGAAGGCAATTTAATTATGAATGTAAATTAATTATGAAAATTAATTATGAATTTGACTAAGCCACCAGGAGGCAGTTCAAGTCGTTTGACAGTTTGTTAGGCGGGTCCGAGAGGGAGTTCCTCGGCCTGCGGACGCGATAGCGAGAGGGTAGTGGGGCTGCATAATTAGCTGCCTCACGAATAAGTGTGTTTGAATGAGACTCTGAGGCTTTGAAGAAGTTTTCAGAGAGTTTTTAATAAATTGTTGTTTTGTTGGGATTTCTAAATCCCTATGGAGGTCGGCATTACGGACGTACCAAGGTGCGTTCGTAGCTCGACGACAGAAGTGATTTTGGACTGTTTGAAGTTCGTTTATAATTTTAGAATTAGCGTGTGCAAATATAGGGGCCGCGTAAGACATTACCGGTCGTATAAAAACCTTTTTTTTTTTTTTTTTTTTTTTTTTTTTTTTTTTTTTTTTTTTTTTTTTTTTTTTACATGGGGAAATGCCTACGCATACCCGCCTCGCGGGGGCAAGGACGGGTTATGTCGGACTCGCACCGACTAAAACCCCATGGTGTTCCACCCTCGTCGCATATTGGCAGGGCCACGGGAACGCTTTCGCACACATCCGCGGCCCCACCTGCGCTGGCCGCCCCATGGCGGCCTCTCCTCAGGAGAGGACTACTCCTCCTCCAACTCCTTCTCGGGTAAGGCGCACCAGAACACATGGCGCGCCCTCCTCCTCGGCCTCCAGCTTAACATGCGCAACGAACGCCCCCGTGTCCGTTGCGCGAAGGCCATGGGGCCAGGAAAAACTAGCACTCAGAAGCACCAGCCTTCCTGACCCCAGCGGCGGATCTGGTCTATGGCTCCGCCGCCAACCAAGATTCGGCTGCGGAGGGTAGGGAGAGCGGCGCCTCGCAATACCGACACTCCTCTCCCCCCGCTGCCCCACCACCACCGCATCAATTGACGTTGCGGCCCCGTCTGAGTCGCGGAGGATAGGGCGAGTGGCGCATCGCCATACCAGCACTCCTCTTCCTCCGCGACTCCACCTCGGCTGCAGCGGTAGAGGGTGCGGACTCCCCTCTCACCGTAGCCCCCCGACACACATCCGAAGTGGGCTCGCCAAGCCCACTCGGAGTGGCCACCTTGGGCCGGCCCTACACCTCGGGCCAGCCAAGGGGTTCCTCTTCGTTCACCGCGGTTGACCAAGCCACGGCTACTAAGCCCCCCCGCCACGACAAGGCGGGAACCCGTTCGGGGGGGACTGTTAAGCCTACCTAGATAGAAACGTGCTAGACGGGTTACTCTTTTGACATGAGCTTTGAAAGTAAGCCTTGTGTCAAGGGTGACACCTAAATCTTTAGCGCAATGCTGTCTGGAAAGCACTCAGCCTTTTCCTCGTCCTCGAAGGCTACCGTACCGTCGGGACGGGAGAGAGGGGGAGTGTGGGTGATAGCGTCTATGCGGAGGGCTCTTGCCATCTGATAGTATGCTGTATGAGAGGGAGAGATATTCTCCATGAGCTCCAGCTTTTTTGGCTTTTAATAGATTGCTAATATGCAGGGGAAGCCCACTATTATTAGCAACCGGGACGACCCTTTCATTCTCCTTAAGGGAGGTTTTAATAAGAGTGGAGAGTGAATCGACCGCGGTGTCGATTTTTTCGGGACTGTCTAAGTCCGACAATAGGGAGATTGGGGAGTCCTGTGAGTCCAGAGCTTTCGCTAGGGACTCCTTGAAGCCCTTCCAATTTGTGAAGGTTTTAGTAGAGGGTGTTGAGGGGGGTGGCTGATGGCCAAGAATGAAGGAGACCGGTCTGTGGTCGGATCCTAGATCGTCTAGTGTCTCAATTGCCCTGAGGTTGAGGAAAACACTTTTGAATAGTGCAAAATCTAGCACGTCGGGAGCGTAATCGGTGATATCGGGATAGTGAGTAGCACCGAGGGGACTGTGGACGGTAAGGTCAAGAGACTGCGTGATATCGAGCAGTATCCTGTCACTACGTGAAGTAGTACGGCATGTCTATTCAGTATGCTTGGAGTTAAAATCTCCAAACATAATGACTGAATTGCCTAGAGATAAAATAGCCTCAAAATCTTTTTTGAGGGGAAGGGTTTTAGAAGGGATGTAACAGGAGGCTATGAAGATGGACTGATGTCCAGTTATAGCTAGCCTGCATACCGTGGCTTCCATGTTGGAAAGTTGGGGGTGAGTTCCGACGGCGGACCTCATCCTCCACTTCCTGAATATGTGAGGGGTCGACAGGTTGAGAGCTAGGAGAGCATTGTGCGGCAATGCTGTCTGCAAAGCACTCAGCCTTTTCGTCGTCCTCGAAGGCAACCGTACCGTCGGGGCGGGAGAGAGGGGGAATGTGAGTTGTCGCGTCTATACGGAGGGCTCTAGCCATCTTATAGTACGCTGTATGTGAGGGAGATATATTGTCCATGAGTTCACTCCTTTGGAGGTCTCGAAGTTCGGAGAGTCGGAAACGGAGTTCTCGTTGAAGACGATTTGCCGTGTGCCTATATTCGGGGGTGGGATATTTTTCTGCTCTCCGGAAAGCAGCTTTTTTAGCTTTTAATAGGTTGCTAATATGTAGGGGAAGCCCACTATTATTAACAACCGGAACGACCCTTTCATTCTTCTTAAGGGAGGATTTAATAATTGTTGAGAGTGAATCGACCGCGGTGTCGATTTTTACAGGACTGTCTAAGTCTAAGTCCGACGATAGGTAGAGATGGGGGAGTCCTGTGAGTCTATAGCTTTAGCTAGAGAATCCTTAAAACCCTTCCAATTAGTAATAGTTTTCGTGGGTGTTATGGGGGGTGGCTGATGGCCAAGAATAAGGGAGACCGGTCGGTGATCGGATCCTATATCATCTAGTGTCTCGATTGACCTGAGGTTAAGAGAAACTCCTTTGAGTAACGCAAAATCTAGTACATCGGGGTACGCCCCCGATCGATCGCATCGGGATAGTGCGTGACACCGAGTGGACTGTGGACTGTAATGTCAAGAGACTGCGTTATTTCAAGCAGTTTCTTGCCACTACGGTTGGTTGAACGGCATGTCCATTCATTATGTTTAGAGTTAAAATCTCCAAACATAATGACTGAATTGCCTAAGGATAAGATAGCCTCAAAATCTTTTTTGAGGGGGTGGATTCTAGGGGGGATGTAACAGGAGGCTATGACTAAAGACTGATGTCCCGTCATAGCTAACCTGCATACCGTAGCTTCCATATTGGTAAGCTGCGGTATATTAATGTGGGAGCAATGCAATGTCTTCTTGTAATAAATGGCCGTTCCGCCGCCTCGGCGGTCGGGCCTGTCATTACGAACAAGAGAATAATTATTAATGGAAAAGCCTCTTGTGTCCTTAGATTTGAGGTTAGTTTCCTGTAAGAGGAGAAAATCGGCTGCGCGATCTCGAAGGAAGAGCTTAAGCTCTGGGAGGTTATTTCGCAATCCGCGAATGTTAAAAGAGATAAGCGATAACCCTTTAGGCTTTACACGACCGTGACTTATAAGCAGAGCAGATGGCTCTGTCATTGTAAAGTTAAGTTAATTAAGTTAACTTAACTTACAATGAACGCAAAAGATTATTATGCTCTACGAGAACTAGGAGGCGGTCCTGAGGGGACTCACAGACCAAAACGCCCTTCTTATATCCCGCAAGAGAGCGTCTCGGTTTGTGAGTAGCGTCGTAAGGCGATGCCGCGCGCTGATTGGTCGGCGACATCGCGTGATCTGCTGTTGGTGTGCGGGGTGCGCGGGGCGCAACGGGGTGTGAAGGGACGACGGGGCGGCGGCCTCCTTCGCTGTCCGCTACAGTAGTGTTATTCAATTTCAAATAATATCAAAATCATAGAATGGTTAATCTTTTTTTTTACTGATTTTATTGATGACTAAGTGTTGACAAATCTTTAAATATATTCCAATAAAAGATTCAGGAGTGAAGAAGCCACGCTTAAAATATTTCTTACAATTTTTTATTATAAACTGCCGTTAAGTGTTCGCTCATTGGTGTATCATCAGTCTTCATAAACAAAACTATCTCTAAAGTGTCTGGCGACAATAGCCTTATCTCTCGTTTGAAGCTTTGGACATGAGGTAGTTTGGCAAAAGATGTCCTAGCAACATTAACAGTTTGTAGTTTTATTTCTTTCTTGTCAGCATCAAAATGACCCTCCTCAATGGTGGAAAGTCCAAAATTATGACTCACAATGAAAGCCAGTTGATTGGTCCCAGGGTTTATTCGTAGGAAGCCTCTCTCTTGGTGCATTGGAGTTCCAGTTTCTGGGTGCCGTGACGTAGATATGTAGTTAAACATTGATTGACCTGGAATGATACGATTTTTATTTCTTTTTTCCTTTTTTTTATTATAGGCACTCGGGTATGGTGAACTAAAAGCCACTACTATAAAGAAGCTTCAGCGATACCAGAGACTGGTATGTATGGCTGCCACAATCTATACAAGTACCACACCAACAGCAATCTTAGAGACTTTGGTCCAGCTAACCCCGCATCACCTAAACATAGACATTACATCACCTACAAAACAAGAAGCGACTTTAGCTGTCTTTAGACTCAAGACCTTAAATCTTTGAAGAGTACAGCTCCTCATACAGGTTTTATCAATAGATTTTAAACCAAAATTCCTATCCTACAACCGAAACCCTTGTTTCATCTGTAAAATCAATAATGTGAAATGGCTCAAATAATTGTGATATTTCTGCCCATATTCGATACTCACTTAACCTCTCAACCGTCCACGGTGACTACAGTCCCAAAAAAATTATTGCCTCACCTGCGCATGGTGACTACAGTCACCAAACGACATCTTTCGGTTTAAACATGTACAGCGCTAAAGATAGCTGTTAATAATACAGTAGAAAATAATAGATGGTGCTATATTAAATTTGTCATCCTTGAGAGTGAATTTTATTTGTGCAATGGCAACAAGGTTTTAAACAGTGGTAGAGCCACGCGGCAGCTTTTGCTGTCGCACGGATGGGCCGGCTCGAACCGTGGTGGTACCACGACCTCACCGAATACCAGCGTGAAGTAGAGGTTTACCACTGCGTTTCGCTTGGTGAGTGCAGGTGGCCGGAGGCCCTTTTTACTGGAAATGAGGCATTCCATCTTAGTCCTCACGGGTGACAACGCATCTGCATTTTGATTCGCAAACGAGGATAGATATAGATGTCTATGGGCCGCAACAACCACTTACCATCAGGTGGACTGTGTGCTCGTTTGTCACCCTCATCCTATAAAAAAAAGGTGTTTAGAAAAAAAAATGTGAAAATGGCTGTTTGCCATTTTTGTTTGTGAACTGTTTTGTTTGTGAAAAAGTGTGTGAAGCTCAATAAGATATGTGGTAAGTTTTCTGGTTTATACATTATGTCTAATGTTATTGTACATCAAATTAATTGTGAAGACATTTCCTTTAAGAAATGTGTATCATTACAACAATTCCAAAACATTTAAATCTAATAATTTAGCTCGAAATTATAATCATTATACGCCATCATTGTTTATTGATCATATGTTGTTTAAAATGTATTCTAATCAGTTTTTTGTGTTAAATGAATGCTAAACATAAAAGAATGATTCACTATTAACACGTAGATAGCCATTTATAAACGAAATATCTGTTGAGATATGTCTAGAAATTATTAAAACTTATTTTTTTTTTTATTTATTTATTAAAATTTATATTGTGTAAATATTATATATTCATCTATATTGAGTATATAAAATATTTTTGATATTGGTGTCATTGTAAAGGGAATATCATGTACTATTATAATATAAAATGGAGCTATCTGCCTTTCAGGTACGACTTTCCATTGACTCCCATCGAGTTGGGGGTTGATACGTATTTTTACAGAAAAGTTACACTATTATAAGCACACACACAAAGTTACAATATGCGGAAGCGTGTAATTTTTGAGAAAAAAGTTATTGAAAATCAATTATTATAGCATTGTTTATGTACATACATATACATAATACATAAACACTCACGCCTGTCACCCAGAGGGGTAGGCAGAGATTATGGACTTCCATTTGGCACGATCCTGACACACCTCTCTCGCTTCCTCCACATCCATATACCTACGCATACACGCTCGTCGGTTAAAGGTACTCTTGATTTGACTCATCTATACATATAATAAAACTGTAAATAGCAGATGTCTGTACATTTTATATTTTTGTAATAAAAGTGATTGAGGGGTACTAAAAATAAGTAATTAAATACATTTCTACCATTTTTAGAATTTTCTGTCTGTCTGTCTGTCTGTCTGTTTGTTTGTTAACGTATCACGTTTAAAGTACTAATTTATATCATAAGAATTGTTAAGGAAATTCTAAAGTGTACCTTCGGGTTACATTTAGTCTTTATTTCATTAAAATCGGTTCATTCCATCAAAAGTTATGATAAATATTCTGAAGTATGGGTAGGGAATTTGCTCAACGGTGGCTGTTTGAGTCATCAAGTTGATGTTAGCAGCGCCATCTCTCTTTAATTAAATATATACATATAATAAAAATGATGATAACATGTTGTGTCTCTTTCTGTACATTGTATATATATTTTGGTGACTAAAATCATTATGGGGAACTAAAAATAATTAAATAAGTACATTTTTATAATTTTTAGAATTGTCTGTCTGTCTGTTTGTCTGTTTTTATATGAATGCATCACGTCTAAAGTAAACATCTTTTTTTTTTTCAAAGAAATCGTTAAGAAAATCATAAAGCGTATTTTCAAGTTACATTTAATCTTTGTTTTATTAAAATTGGTTAATTCTATCGAAAGTAATGATTATTATTTTAAAATGTAGGTTCGAATTTGTTCAATGGCGCCATAAAAATCTCAGAAATAGTAATAAAAAGATTTGTGTGTAAAAAAAACGTTCCATAATAATTAATATATTTATACTTAAAACATAAAAAGAGATTTAAAAAAGGATGTTTTCTCACACAAAGGACATAATAGATGGAGTTGTACAAATTACAAACTTTTCTGATTTGCTGTGTTGAGATTTTTCGCCGATGAATCGTATTGAGACTTACTGAAGAGATTTGTATCTATCGAAGCCATACAACGGAACCCGAACAAAAATAACAAAATTGCAACGAAATGTCGTGATATTGTATTTATAATATACGCAAAATCAGTACTGCCATTTTAGCGCTTTGGGAACTAGATTTAGCGCTTTTTTGGAATGTATAGCGCGCATTTCGAAATTTTAGCACCTAGCACTTAATCCAGCGCTTTTTGGTGTATTTAGCACACATTTCAAAATTGTAGCGACTAGTGGGTTATTAACTCTTTTATAGCAGCACTGTTAGTCCACATTACCGATAATAATAATAATGACCTTTATTATTTTTTTCCACAAATAGTACATTGCAGTTTATCTTTTTCAAACATATTTTTTCCACAAAACAAAGAGCATGGGAGACGAGTCCAAACTAGGATACCCTGTGCTATGGATCTCCCGGCTTCCCCTTTAGGATGATCAACTTGATTTTTTTTATCGACGCCAATAAGCGGGGAAATTCCCTTCATTAAAGTTTTCGTTCATGGTTTTGGCAACGCATTTATTTTGTTTTATTCAGTTTTAGTCAGTTGTTTAGAGCACAGCTAAGTTAAAAGTTACTTAGAGTAGTACTAACTACTGTTGACAGCAATTGCCATAATTATAAGTCGATGTCCTGCGAAGTATTGATACATCAAAAAATATTGCCAGAAAAAAACTTAATGTTGTTTTCTTTATTATGATTATATTTTCTTGAATTATAAATTATAATAAAAAACACAAACTTTGTTTGTAGTTAATTTAGCGCGAAATCTAGGGCTTTTTTAAAGCGCTGTTTTCATGAAATCTAGCGCTTTTTGTGTTGTCCTAGCGCTGAATGAGTTTTTTTGATCTGGCAGCACTGCCAAAAAACCCTCTATTAAGAAGTAACTTTCCTTTCAGTTTTAAGCGCGTTCAGTTCCCAGTTACAGTCAGCGTGTGTTATGCGAAGACCGTAAATAAAGCGCAAGGTCAAAATTTACGCGTTGTAAGAGTGAACCTCAGTACTGACTGTTTTGCATATGGCCAACTCTATGTTGCTTTTTCCCGCGTTAGTAGCCCCCGTAACCTTTTTGTGTACACCCCGTCTAAGTCTACTTCTAACGTCGTTTACACCGAAGCTCTATCATAAACTACTTAGAACTTTGATGATAATGATTTATTTGTTACCACTTATTGATACAGTAATGATATAAATCGTTTAATATTCTCTTACCTAAACGACAAATTCTTTATGTAAAATCTATATACGCGGGCTACGCCGCGGGCACAGCTAGTTTTTAATATATCGCCATTTTGGTCGATAAACTTTCGCCTAGGGCGTCCCTTCCTGACTCTGCCGTTCACCTCTGCAACATAAATTTGCTTTGTCACTCTTTCCTCATTCATTCTTTCTGCATGACCAAACCACCGAAGCATTCCTTTCTTAATCCTGGTCACAACATCATCTTGCAAACCACACTCTTCTCTTATCACACAATTTCTCACTCTGTCATTCAGATTCATCCCTAACATACTCCTTAATGACCGCATTTCTACAGCATTTATTCTACTCTCGTGCTTCTTCTGCCACACCCAACTTCCACTATCATACATTAAAGTAGGGACTAACACAGCATTGTGAATTGCCATACGTGCCTTTTTGGACACATTCTGACTTCTCACAATAGGGTCTAGAGCCCCATTCACTCTATTTTCTGCATTCACTCGTCGTTCTATATCCTTATCATGTCTACCATCTCTGCTAAATACACATCCCAAATACACAAACTCATCTACTTGCTCGACCAACTCCCCTTCTATTCTTATTTCACACATCGTTTTACTTTCTTCTCTTTCAAAAACCATAACTTTCGTCTTACTTGCGTTCACTTTCATTCCCTTTTCTTTTAATGTCCTGTTCATTAATGTAACCATCATTTGCAACTCGGCCGCCGACGACGCAAGTATGACTTAATCATCGGCGTACAAAAGGCTATAAAATAGTTGAACAATAATGTAAAAAACTTGTATTGTGAAAAGTTGTCCAAGTGGTACGTCCACTAAAAGCTAAAAACTACTAATAATTGTTCGCCTCAGCTTTTATCTTTTTTCCGACCCACTGTATGTTGAGTAATTATTTTGAATTATTTATTTAATTACCCGCGACGGAACGGAGAAGGTATATGCGTTTAGGGTGAGAGGTTGTTTGTGTGTGCAAACGAATGTTCCCATTTATCTCCAAAACGGCTTAACCGATTTT